CTGCCCAGGGAGCTCTGATTATAATGCAGACAAGACAAAAATAAAAGGGAACTCATTCTGTAAGACAGGTTGCAAAGTGGTCTCCTAAGAAGCTATGAAGTGCTGCTCAGCCTATAATTGCTGCTAAATGGACCCCTAACAGTATTCACGTCTTCCTGCAAAACCGTCCATCACCGGGGCCCTTTCCTTATTCCTCCCACAAACAGGCAGCAGGGGAGGTGCAGTTTGGACTCTCAAAGGTTCTAGAAGGTTAGAGCTGTTTGTCCAGTTCACTTCTGCTCCCCAGTGCCCACCAAGGCCCCCAGCACACAGTAGGTGGTCAGTCTGCATCTGTTGTCCATAAGACTGGACAGAGGGTTCTCTCCCCAGCACGAGGCACACAGCCTGGCTCTTAGCAGGGCCTTGACCCATATCTGTTGAATGGACGGATATTAGTGTTGAGAGGGGGCTTGGAGATCCGCCCAACCCACCCTCTTGCAGGGGAAACAGCCAAGGCATGGGGCAGACGGAGCAGGGTCGGGGTCGTGCCCATGTGGTCTCATCCCTGCCTGCTGATCTTCCCCCAGTATCTTTCTGGGAGGAGACCAGCAGAGGCCAGGATGTTGGAGCTGGGAGAGGCTTGGAGAGGCTTCAGTTCAACCTTCTCATCTTCTGGATGGGAAACTGAGGCCCAGAGAGGAACTAGCATCTGCCCAGTGTCACACAGTTCAGCAGCCATCGGACAGAGCCCATGCATACTGAAGAGCTGCCGAATTCCACCTTCCAGCAGAGTGGGCAGGGCTGGGCTGGCCTAGATATGGGGAACCCCGTGGATCCCTGGAACTTTGCTGCAGGGGTGCTTGGGGATCTGGCAGACCTGGGTTTGAATCCGAATCCTTGTTCAAGGCCAAGTACAATGTGTCAGTGCATGCCTTTTTCAGTCTACCAGCAGAGCGACCTTGGGCAGACCTCTGAGCTTCCAGAGCCTCCGCTTTCCCACCTGGGCAACAGAGGTGACGATGCAAACTCCCAAGGCACGTCCCCCCACCCACGTAACTGAGTATGATGGACACCTGCTTCCAGCCAGGGCCTGGCAGGTGGCGAATGATGCCAGGGGCTGAAGGAGTCGAGCCCCCAGCAAGTGGGAGGTGAGCGGGTGAAGGGACGAGGCTTCTGCTCCACGCCGCACGGGGGTCTCTCTCCCGGAAGCCTCCCACCCCGCCCCCCCAGTCCACCGCATCTGCATTTCCTGAGAACCAGCCCCTGTAGCTTCTTCGTTACCTTAAATTAGGTTTTTTCTGTAACAGTGACTGCAGCTTTTCTGCCTTTGAATGCCTTTGAAATCAAATCAAACCAAGCTCCCACCTGCTGCGAGCCCTCTGTCTAACTGTGTGCCAAGCTTTATTCTAAGGACTTTGCATATATTAACTCACATGATCCTTATCAGCTATTATGACCCTACTGGACCATCAAGGAAACTGAGGCATGGAGAGATTAACTAACTTGCCCACAGTTGTGCTGCTAGTGAGTGTGGAGCCGGCAGCCTGGAGCTCAGGTCACTGCCCACCTTGGCCTCTGAGCCTACAGGCTGCCCAGCCTCCCCGACCTTGTGCCCTTCCAGGCAGGCAGGATCTGTCCCCAGTCCCACTCAGCATGTGGCCTGTCCGCAGCTCTGTGGACAGAGGAGGCAACGCTTCATTCATGAGAGGCAAAGCTCAGGCTGCCAGGAGTCCTGCAGGGAAACATACACTGCCCTGTTGTTAGACAACAGTTGCCACCTCGCTCCTCTCACTGATAATTCATCTGTTCTGGAAGCACAGAGGTGTGGGAGCCCCGGCCAACAGCAGGCAGCCTGACTCAGGCCTGGGGAACCAGGCTGGGCCACAGGGCCAGGGCCATGCCCCCTGAACATCAGGCACAGCCACCTGACGGGCCTTCGCTCCACAGGCCAGGTCTCGGCCCTCTGACAAGCTCTTCTCTTTCTAAGGACAGTGGTCACAGGAGCGTTTGTGGGGGCTTCCCTCGGGCCAGGCTCTGTCTGAGCAGCTGAGAAGCAGAGCCTCATTAATCCCAGCAACACGACAGTGTAGACGCTGTTATTATGGGAAACTGGGAACCAGATGTGTTCAGAATTTGCTCAAGGTCGCCAAGGTAGTGAGCTGTGGAGCCGGAGCGACGCTCAGCCAGAGAAAGGAGTGGGCCGCCCTCTCACCCCAGCCCACGTTGGCCGTGCTCGGCCCCCACACGCAGCACCTCTGCGCTGCTCGGCCTGCCCTGCCTCCACGACACACGGCCATGGCTGGAGTCCCAGGGCCCGTGGAAGCACCTAGCTCAGGCCTCAGTGGGCCTCTTGGTGCCCTCATCCCGGGGCTGCAGAGGGTGGCCTTCCAGAGGGAGGGTGGGTTCAGTCCTGAGGTGGGGGAAGCTCAGGGAGAGGTCAGGGCAGGGACAGAGGCCGGGCACTCCTGCCACCTGGGGTCCAGCAGTAAGCCACGTCAGTGTGTCAGCAGGAAGAGGAGGAGGGCTGTGGGCTTCCCTTGGGGCCATGGGAAGGGGGCTGGGGAGGCTGCTCCCCAGGGTGGCTTGGGACGGGCAGTTGTGCGTGGAGAGAAGGGTGCTGCCCCCGCCTGCAGCGCCCACCCCTCAGCCCAGCCCAGAACAGAAGGCTGGATTCGCCTCCCGTGGCTGCCGTCCCAAACTGCCCAAACTTCGTGGCTCGAAACAGGAATTTATTCTCTCTTAGTCATGGAGCGTGCAAGTCTAAAACCAAGGTGTCGGCAGGGCAGGTTCCTTCTGGAGGCTCCAGGAGACCCATTTCCTCGCCTTCTCCGGCTTCCAGAGGTGCCTGCGCTCCTGGGCTCCTGGGCCTTCCTTGCCTCCCCCTAAGCTCTGCTTCCACTGCCCGGGGCCCTTCTGCTCCTGCCTCTCCGCCCACCTCTATGAGGACCCTGTGATTACCCTGAGCCCACCGGATAATCCAGGATAACCTCCCCATTGCAAGATCCTTCACTTAATCCCACTTGCAAAGTCCCTTTTGCCATATAAGGTGACATTCGCAGGTTCCAGCAATCGGCGCGGGGACATCTTTGGGGGCAGCTATTCAGCCTCCAGTAAGTGGCAGTTATGAGCGAGGCTCTGCCTGGCACTTACCTGGCAAGTCCCTTCAATCACTGCCCCTGTTCACAGGTGAAGACACCTGGGGCTCAGAGCACTGAGGGACCTTCCTGATGTCCCCTCACTGGGGGCACCTGGCAAAGCTGGACTGAGGACAGGGACTCCCCAGACCAGAGGCTGTCCCCCAGACCACCTGCCAATGCAGCATCTGTTCCCAAGCAGCCCTGAGAAGGAGACCTGGGCTCAATACACACACAGGCTCACCTTTGTCTCGCAGTGGAGTCATAACAACGCCAGTGAGACGGGAGAGGGCCAGGCAGGGGGTGGCACCTGCCCTTGCTCCTGGCCAGCACTGAGGTCTCTCCTGCAAACGAAGGCTTCTGCTGCTGCTTGGAGCATGGACAATGCCCTCCACTCTTGCTTTGCACTCAGATGAAGCTGGGTTCACGCCCAGGCCTCCCACCACTGGCTGCATGCCTGGGTAAGCCTCACCGCCCCCTGCCTCGATTTTCTGCCTCCTTCCTTGGGCTGTTTGGGAGGGAGTGAGGTTAGGCACGTGAAGCCCCAGAGCAAGGTCTAGGAAGGATCAGGGGAGGCTCAAATCAACCCACCCCCTCTCTGCCCTTATGCGCAAGACATTTCCTTCTGGGCAGGCGCCTGTGTCCCTGGAGTGAGGTCTCCCTCGTCTGCCCCCTGCAGCAGCCCTCCCCACCTCTGCATCCCAATTCTGTCCATCAGGAAGCGTTTACAGCAGCAGCAGTCAGGGAGAGGAAAAAATAAAGCAAAACGACCTCTTCAGAAAGAAAGATGACATCCCATTAAAAAGCACAGCTGATACAGCCTAGACGGCCAGTCTGCACCCTGATTGTCACATTCCACCGGTGACTGCGCCGGGGCCAAGTTCAAGCACACACCGGATCCTCTGAGCCCCGTGAGCCTGCCGTCATTGTGAGCATCGCAACTGTCCAGCACCCTGTGCACCGCCACCGTCCCGCATCGACGGCTCTGGTTGCGGGGTGCTCTGTTCACTTGCAGAAGTTGCACAGGATCGTGGCTGCTTGGGTTTCCTTTAAAGTCAGCGTTAAAGCAACTGCGGGTGCCGCATGCCAAGCACTACCCAGGGGCTCTGGGCACCGAATCTGAGCTTTCACAGCTCTCTGTGCGAGAGGTGGGTTACATCCCATTCTCCCAAGGAAATAGCCACAGAGAGCTGAGCTGGGATTCCGCCTGACCTGTCCGAGTCTCTTTCTGCGACCTTGAGCTGCTTCTGCAAATAAACTCATGTGGGCAGGACAGCTTTGCCCAGGTGCGTCCCAGACAGCGTTCTGGGGTCACAAGGTGGCCAGGGTGCAAGCACACCTTCGCGGGAGGGGTCTCCTCCCAGCACCTGGCAGTGGGGAGCCGTGGAAAGACAAAGTTCCGAATGTACAGTCAGCCAGCAAGCAGTGTCAGGACCCCCCAGACCAAGACGACGGCAGGTATCACTCCAAGGAAAAGTCAAAGCCGAAGCAAAACCAGACCAATGCAAACCCTTCAGAAGAAGGCGCTGCGTGGCGCTGCCTCCCGACAACTCCACCCCAGGGACGGCAGCTCCATCTGCTCCCCGGCGCCCCACCTCCTGCGTGTCTGCCCCATAGATGCTGCCTCCAGGGTGGGGGGAGACAAACATACCTCTGATAAGCAGGCAGCCCCTTCCCCAAGGGCCTCCCTGGTGGTGTAAAACACATTCACCAAAATGGATTAAGGCACAACTGGGAAGGGTGACCAGAGAGAGCTAGGAGGTCAACGTCCCCCGCTCCGGCCACCATTCCAAAACAGGACCAGGCAGCGGTGTCCTGGCTCACGTGGCGCAGGTGGGACCGTGAGGGCAGGAGCCTGGGCAGCGGTAGCCCTGGCCCAGCACATACCTTTCTCTTGTTGGCTGGGCAGATGTAGAAGTTGTCGACAATGGTGGTGACGCCGGGCTGGAGAGTGAGCTTGGTGTAGGATGTCCCGAAATCCGACGACCTGGGGGAACAAGGGGACAGCTGTCAGTCACGTGCCCTCCAGGGCAGCATCTATGCAGCCCACAACAGAGCTGGCACCATCCAAGTGCCAGTGAGACTGTCCTTGCCACTCTCCCAGGGGGCAGCATGTCCCCTCCCCTGAGGACATGGAGGACTCGCTCAGGTCTGGAGCTTGCACTTGAAGTCAGGTCCTCCTGACAGGAATCCCAGCCAGTCACCTCCTCCTGGATGCCTGATATGTGCCAGGCACTTCTAGGTCCTTCCATCTCTTTGACTCCTCACAAACCCCTGACAGACATGTCACTATGTCCATCTCACTATTGACCAGAGGAGGCTCAGAGGGGAGAGATTCTTGCCTGAAACCATTCGGCTAGTAAGTGGTCCATCCAATGCCGAGCTGGCATCCTGTGTCCTGCACAGACCTTCATCGACTGTGCCGAGGCCTCACAGTGGCCGGCCTGTGTGTCCATTTCCCTTTCTGGACTCCTCCAGGGAGCTCCACCCTCCACCCTGATGCCACCCCGAGCACAGGATGGCAGGGGACAGGGCGAAGGTACCAGAGCTCAGGCAGCTGCTGGAGAATCAGCCCCCAAGCCCCGTGCTGGGCTCACCAGCCTTGCAGCTCAGCACCACCTTCGGCAGCCCTTCCTGGCTTCTGGGCCTGCGATCCTCCCCTGTAACCCGGCGGGGATGCAGACAAGAATCTCTGCGCTCGCTGAGCTCTGAAACACCCCAGCCCAGCAGCAACAAGGGGGAGAGAGGCCATCCACCAAAAACTGTTGCACATCTGTGGTCGGAAGCCACAGATACATCAGGACGTAGGGTTAAGTCTGCATGGAAGCTTAAGGTCCCAGTGACCTAAAACCAACGTCCCTTTTCCTCTCCCATTAAAAGAGGTGGGAATTGCAGCAGGAACCCAGGCTGCATTGGAAGGGGCAGCCAGGTCCTCGGGGTGGGGTCTCCCATCCCTGCCCTGAGCTGTAAATGTGCAATTCTAGAGATGTTGGGGTTCGAGGCTCTCAGAGAGCTCCTCTCAGTCATCTTCTGATGGGTGAGCAAACACAGACCCAGGTGGGGAAAGGACCCACGCCTGCTGAGCTCCTGCTGTGTACAGTGCCCTGCGGGGCCTTTCCCAGTCTAATCACTGCTGAGACCCGCTGGAGGGAGCTGAGCTCAGAAGGTCGTGGGAGGGAGTCACCAGCCTGGGCGAGGGGAGGTGGGCTGGAATCCAGGAGCTGTGGTGCTCCCCCTCAGACCCCAGTGCCATGTGGGGCCCGGGCGCTAACCCTGGCTCTGACCCGGCTGCGCTGTCTTGCTGTGTGGCTTGAGCCGCCCCTTCCCCTCTCTGCCCGTGGGAGGGGCTGGACGAGGGTGGTGCTTCTCAAACTTGCCCTGGGTGCCTGGGTGCCTGGATGTGCCAGGGAGCCGAGGGGAGCCACCACCCACTGGGATCTTCATAATTCCCTTCCACAATACACCAATCGGTGGTTTCTATGTGGATCTGTTTCCTCCCTAAATGTTCAGGTGAAATTGAGGCTCCAGGAAAATGGGTTGCGTTTATCATCTCTGGGCTTGGTGGCCACGTGGCCACACGTCCCCAGAGATGACATGGCTGGAGAGAACAAAGTGCCCCGTGAGGATGTAATTAGGGAGCGCTTACTCTCAAAGCCTCAGAGAATTGATTTTGTTCGGGAAGGAGGCAGCGAGAGGCCCATTAGTAGAGGATCGACCCAGAGACCCTGAAATTCCAGAGCCCCTGCAGAAGCAAATGGCTGTCCAGGAGCTCCACGCAGGGGAAGCCCCTCCGGGCCTCCTCCCCCTCCCCCCACCCCAGCCTGGCCATCTCTAAGACCCGCCTCCTGATCCTGCCTCCCACACACCTCACAAGGTACCGTTTTCTCCCTCCCCACCACCCACACGCCCACCTCAGCCACACGCCTTGCCAGGGCCCAGCTGCCTCCCCCGTTCCCCACCTCGGCCAGGGCTGGGCCTGCGGCAGGCAGCACAGGGACAAAGGCCCTGCTGCCTAGAAATCCACCTCCAGTGGGGCAAGGGGAGGTGGAGGGCTGACGACAGATACAGAGGCAGGAACGTGACAGCACAGGTGTGCGGTGTGACGAGCGCTGGGAGAAGAACCCCAGTGTGGGGGCGATGGCGGGGGGACAGGGGATCGCTGTCTCACAGACGGTGCCAGGGAAGGGTCGGGCAGCGGCCCCCAAGTCCACATCCCCCCCAGAACCTGTGAGTGGAGCCTTATTCAAAAATGAGGTCTCTGCAGGTGTCATCGGGTTAAGACGAGGTCATACTGGATTAGTGTGGGCCCTAACTCAGAGGCACACAGATGCAGGGGAGAACGCCAGTGCAGACGGGGACAGAGACTGGGGCGCTGCGGCTGCAAAACAAGGGACACCAAGGATGGCCAGCAGCCACCGGACGCTGGGAGAGAAGAGGGGTGATCCTCCCTCAGCGCCTCCGGAAGGAATCGGTCCCAGACTCTGACCTCCGGAGTCGTGGAAGAATGCACTTGCACTCTTTTGGGCCATGCAGTTTGTGGAGCTTTGAGTGGCAGCCCGAGGAAAGGGTGCAGCGCTCCGGGCAGGGGGGCGGCAGGCCAGGCCCGAGGACAGGGAAGGAGGGAGCTGTTTGAAACCTCCACCTGCTGCCATTCACCCCATCTCAGCGACTTCCTCGCCCCGCAGGACGATGCAAATCCAACTCCTCAAATACAAGGGCACTTCAAGAACTTTGTGGAAAAACAGAATTAAAACATAATACAGGTCTTTCCACGAACTTTTTGAAGTACCCACGTATCTATTAGCCCCAAGTTCCAGGCCTCCTGCCAGCTGCTGGGGACATTAGTTCACACTTCTTTCATTCACCCAATATTGATTTACCTCTTTTATGCTTTAAACCCTACACCAAGGCTTGGGAATCCAGATTTATTCCTTTGTTCAAATTCACTCATATGACACTTGTTTGTTGAGAACCTACTATGTGCCAGTCACTGCACAGAGGCTGGGGACCCCATGGTGGGCAGGACAGACACTGTCCCTGCCCTTACGGGGATGACAGGCTGGGGGTGAAAGCTAGAGAGAGCAAGAGCACAGACAGACATCTCAGGGGCATGACCAGAGGGCCCTGGGAGACGCTAAGAGGACATCACACGGGGGCCCAGGGGCCATCCTCAGCCCCCAGGCCCCCCCAGGCTGCCCCTGCCACCACATCTAATCCATCACCCGCCTTGCTGACTTTTCCTCCTAGATCTTTCTCATTCCATTCCAACATCTCCATCCCCCCATCATCCAGGCCCACATCCTCTCCTACCAGACCATGAGGAGGTCCCTGTGGTGGGTACAGGCTCAGAGCAGGGGACCTAATGCCAGCTGGGCAGGCTTCCTCAAGGAGAAGCGTATGAGTCTCTCAGGGCTGCTATAACAAGTGACCACATACCTCATGGCTTAAAACAAGACACATTTATTATCATATCGTTGCGGAGGTCAGAAGTCTGAAACAGGTCTTATGGGGCTAAAATCAAGATGTCGGTGCCTTCTGGAAGCCTGGGGGAGAGTCCATTCTCTGCCTCTCCTGCCTCCCAGAGCCTTCCTGCAGCCCTGGCTCCTCCCCAGAGCACATCACCCCAGTCTCCTGTCCCACAGCTCCAGCGGCTGCCATCAAATCTCCCTCTGGCTTCCCCCTTGCGATCACGTAGGGCTCATGCGGATAATCCAGGATAATCTCCCCGTCTCCATGTCTTTAGCTAATCCCATCTGCAAAGTCCCCTTTGCCATGTAAGGTCACACTTTCACAGGTGCCAAGGATTAGGATGGGAGCGACTATGGGAGGCGTTATTCTGCCCACAAGTGGGCACGTGAGCCAGGTGTGGGGTATGTGTAGGAACTTGGTGGGGAGTGGTGTGTCTCCAGGCAGGTGGGCAGGGTCCCCAGGCCACAGAGAAGGCTGGACCTGCCCTGCCAGACAACGCCCACTGGGACACCTGAGGCTGCCTGGCACTCGGAAGGTGGCGGACTTGCTGCAATTGAGAAGCACTAGAGTTAGGCAATATGCGCTAATTTCAAAGACTTAAAAAGAAAGAATGTGATATATTTCACCATAATTTTTTATATTGAGTACATGCTGACATAATAATAGTTTGGATATACTGAGTGAATTAAAATCTATTAGTAAAATTAATTTCACCTGTTCTTTGTTAATTGTTAGACTTGATTTTTTTTTTTTTAGAGCAGTTTTAGGGCCACAGCAATTGAGTACAGAGAGTTCCCATATAGTGGCTGTCCCCACACATGCAGTGTCCCCCACGATCCACATCCCCCCCGAGTGGTGCGTTTGTTACAACTGATGAATCCACACTGACACGTCACTTTCACCAGAGTCCACAGCCTACACGAGGGTCCGCTCTTGGCGCTGTGCATTCTGTGGGTTTGGATAAATGTGTAATGACCTGCACCCACCACTGTCACACACAGTAGTCACACAGAGTAGTTTCACTGCCTAGGACGTCCCTGTGCTCCACCCGTTCCCTCCCCCAGCCCCTGGCAACCCCTGGTCTATCTGCCATTTCCATGGTTTTGCCTTTTTCAGAGTGGACTCCGACAGCATGTGGCCTTTTCAGACTGGCTCCTTTCACTTAGTAATATGAATCTAAGGTCCCTCCAGGTCCCTTCATGTCACCTGTTTCTCTTTCCTGTTTCACGGGGTCACTAGAACATTTGAAATGACCCACGTGGTTTGCATTCTACTCCTAACGGACACCCTGGTCTGCGGTGCGAGCAGGGCTCTGCTGGGGCAGTGCGTGTCCCCATCTGGAAGGCGCCGGCTCAGCAGATCAGCTGAGTGACCACAGGGAACGTGCTTAGACAGTGCCTGGGTGCAGCACACGCCGTAGCAGGGCTTGCCACTGCAGCTATTTCAGAAAGACTGCTGTGACTGCAGGGGGGGACAGGGACCGAGGCAGTGGTGGAGTGAAAGGAGGGGCAAGACTTA